AAGGTGAAGAAGGCACACCATACTGTTTCCCAAACACCGGTCGAAAGGCACACCATGCTGATCCAGGCCCAATCAAAGGATGCAGCAAAGGACTTAAGGTGAAAAAGGCATACCATATTGTTTCCTAGACACCAGTTGAAACGCACACCATGCTGATTTCAGGCCCAGTCGAAAGGCACACCATACTATTTCCCAGACACCAGTTGAAAGGCACACCATGCTGATTCCAGGCCCAGTCGAAAGGCATACCATGCTGATTCGGGCCCAATTGAAAGGCACACCACACTGATTCTAACCCCCAGTCGAAGGAGGCAGAAAGGCAGAATCAAGGATGCATCTCATGCCTCAGGCTAAGCCCAAATCGAAGGGCATGACTTTATCGATTTCAGACCCCAAATCGAAAGAGGTCAAAAAGTGCAGAATCGAAGGGTGTTTCTGCCTAAATCGAAAGACCCCTTTTTTCTTGCTTTTATTTTATTTTGCCTTTATATTTTCATGATATTCAATATGGTTGTAATAGTGTATGGTTTTATTTTTCTGCATTTTATTACTTTTGTATAATTGCTAGTAAAATAGGGTATGTATGACACGATAAAAACAACAAGTAGACAACCCCTAATCAAAGACTAAATGCATACAAATCAAACACACTATTCACACATGCACCCCTAGGGTAATCTCACTAGTTTCATCAGATAAATAGTCATGTCCCTCGAATATGGGCGTTTTAGCAAAGACCCTTGGTAAAAGATCGTAGTCCCTCGATCACCCTCAATATTGCCTTCGGTAAACAATCTAGTCCCTAAACGACATTGCTAAAACGTCCCATAGGTTGCCTTCTATGACTATACAAATGTCTCACGCCCGTTCCTTCACATCCAATGATGGGGCTTCTTACCAAATCAATGGTAAGATAGCAACATCTAAAGGAGGAGGAAAAGAACATTAAGACCTTTTGAGTAGGTAGGATGCTCCTAGTTGCTCGCTTGCTCACAACAAAAACATTTTATACACCCACACTTTCATTTGAAACATTTTCAAAATTTAAAACACTTAGTACGCTTTCCTATAGAAACGAGAGCCATTACAAAGACACCTTTTCACTTAGACATTCAAAACATCTTTCAAGAACAAACACCTATTTGAACTATTTTCAAAACCAACACTTTATACGCATTCTTATAGAAACGAGAATCATTACAAAGACGTTTTCAAAATACTTTCAAACCCACACCACAAGCACATTTTCAAACAAAGCAAGTGATCTAGCAAGCAACTAAGATCTCGTAGATAACTATGGATGAAAAGGGTGCTAACACCTTTTCTTTTCATAACCTACCCCGTGAACTCAAGAAATAATCTCGAAAGGTCTTTCCTGTTCTTTTCAACCTTTCCTTTTGGATAAAAGAAAAGTTGGTGACGACTCTTGCTATCCGCAAAAATTGCGATCAAACTCAAAACACCCAAGCCAGTTCTCCCACCGTATTACACCATGTTCCCTTAGAATCTCTCGATTCAATCTTTGGTGGTGATTCGAGATACACATTAGGTTGTGAACCATGCATGCTAACTTAGTTTGAAGTTCCCCTTTTATCCTTGACCTTAGGGTCATCATTGTATGATAACATTAGGGATATAATTAGATAGTCTCTCTTAGATGTTTTCTTTTCTTTTTGCATCCTTAAGACTAAAATTTTTTTTTTGGCAAATGCATAAAACACTTTAATAATACAAAAAACCTTTTTCAAGGTAAAAAACACCAACCAATTTAAACTTCATTTTTCCGCTTGGCTTTTCTTTAAAAACTCTTTTTTAAGGTAAAAAACACAAAAAAAAAATTCGAAACATGTGAGACGAACTACGGTGCTTTAATTCCTAAAAAGGGATACGTAGGCATCTGGTCACGGGGCTCAGCCGAGTGAAACTTTATAAATATTTCCTTCCTTTCCCCGTGTTTTCTTTTGTATGCATTCCCTCTTTTTTTTTAGCTCTTAAGCTTTAGATTTGAACACACCCTTTGATTAGAAAAACAAGAGTGAATCCCGTGGAGTACCATGGACGCGAGGGGTGCTAATACCTTTCCCTTATGTAATCGACTCCCTTTCCCGTATCTCTCGGTTTTTTGACCTTGATTTCACCCTTCTCAGGTTTACTCGATGTTCCCCTTTTCCTTCTTGTTGGATAAAAAATATTTGATGGCGACTTCATTGATTTTATATCGATGATTTGTTCCACCAGTTATTTTAAATATCAAAGCAAGTAAAATAGATAATAAAATAGACACGAGGATTTGTCTTCACAGTTCTCCACTTTCGTCCTTGCGTGTGGGTACGTCTGCGCCTAATTCCAATGGAATTAGAATAATTCTTACTATGCAAAAAGTTGATACAAGAGAAGTGTTCAAGAGAAACTCCATAAACTCTAATGCTTGTTTTTGATTCAACCAATTCTCTTCCTTTGATCTTGAAAAAGACCAAGACACACTAGTTGCAAATTGGCTATTTGGATATTGCTACTCCATTGTGTACTTTATCTCCAAAGCTTTCACACACCATCAATTTCACCTATTACAAACACAAGACTTCAATTGTAATTCGTATTTCTCTCATTACTTCATTTGCATTCTTTATCTCCAAAGGATCCCTTTCATTCTTTATCTCCAAAGGACTTCAGTTGGCCGCAATTACCTCTTGAACGGATTGCATAAAAACCCCCAAATAAATCAATGATCTTGTAGGATAAACCCGCGGTTTTTTCGGATGAAGACCCCTACATATCTCAACCCAATATCTTTGGCTACACTAGAACCTAGTTAGACGTTATCAAACCTCGTCTAGATGACACCCCAACAAAAGATTATTATAATGGAATGTCAGTGTGTATGCATAGATTGGAGGTTGAAGATGAAGAGCAAATATAGGCTAATTGTATGGTATTATCAAGTTATGAATGATTCATGAATGATGTATTTATAGTTTTGGAAATTTAGGGAAAAAAATATTTATTTGGGGTTAAAAACTTTTAAAAAATTGACCAAAATAATTAGTATGTGTCGACCTATAACTCGTATGTGTCGATATATATGTCAAGTTTAAGCTATATGTGTTGACCTGAAAGAAGGTATGTGTCGACCCAACCAAGTCATTGGCTAAATGCTTTACAATAACAACAAATGTGTTGACCTGAAATTCATATGTGTCGACATATAAAATAAGAATATCTGCAATTTCAGAAATATTTTAGTATGTGTCGACCTATGCAATGCATATGTCGACCTGAGCCTTTTAGGGACTACAGACTTCAAAACTGAGTTGCATATGTCGACTTGAAAATCGTATGTGTCGATATATGTAATTAAACTTTATACATAGGAGTGCCACAAGACATAGAGATAACATCCAATGTACAAAAGTGCTAGCTTTTCCAAGTTTTGACATCATTCAAAATCTCTAACGACGAAGTTGTTCTCACAACCCTTAAGAATATAAACGAACAACATAACCACTTATAAAATAATTCTCCTCACAAATAAAGTTTTACTCCAAGCACTAAGACAACCACAAATGAAGAAACAAAATTCTAGTGAGAGAAAAAGTAGAGAGATAAATTTCAAACAAATATGAAAATGTTGGAAGGTGGTGTGATTTTAAGTGAGGAGGTAACCCCTTTATATAGTAGTTAAAATCATCCAAAAAAGAAAGGATCCATGGGTTGAATTAAAAATCTAACCGATTATTCAACTGATTTAAAACGTTAAATATGACAGATTATATTACCCAAATCGAAAGGTTTGAATATAAAGTTGTTGCACATCATTAAGGCGCTGACGAAATGTCTTAGGGTATAATCTTGGACTAATCTAATCGATTAGACAAGATCTTAAGTCATTTCTTCAGCTCTTAGATCGATTAGTATAATTTAAATGTATTTTTGAAATTGTTTTCTTTTAATAAAAATATTTTTCAGTATATTGTGTGAGTTGCCTTAATATTTTTAAGCTATTTTTTTATTTTTACAATACATGATTCTCTCAGACATACTGATGTGACATGTCGAGCTTTCACATATTTTCCTGAAGAGACTTTTAGGATTCTTCACTAGATATTGGATTGTATCAACACTTTGTCTTTGGGTACTTCGTATGCAGATATATATCTTCATGTGTTGCTGTCATCAAAACTTCATATGCTAATTGTTATATGTAAGTACATAGATCCATTGACACTAGGTGTAAGTCTAAAAGACTTACACCAAATCTCAATAGCTAAAAGGTGTAAGTCTAACAGTCATATTATATGTAATAATATATATATATATATATATATATATATATATATATATATAACTCATTCTTTTCTCTAAAAAATAGGCTATTTATATAACAGTTTGATTGAGTACTATTAACAGTTGAGATTTGATGTAAGTCTTTTAAATTTATATCTGATTTCAATGAATCATATATATATATATATATATATATATATATATATATATATATATATATATATATATATATATATATATATATATATATATATATATATATATATATATATATATATATATATATATATATATATATATAACTCTCTTTTAATTTTTTTTTATATTTTATAAAATATAATTAATATAATTTAACAATAATTTTACTTAATGAAAGTTCTTCCCTTCTCCTTCTAATCATTACCTAATTATTCTCCCATCATCAATTTTTTTTTTTTGCATTTTCTATTTTATTGTTTATCTATATTTTTCCTCTTAAAGAAGTAAATTAGAAAACTTCAATCTATAAAATATCCCAACACGCCATTATATTTTCAACAATAAATAATGTCTCTTATCATTATCCCTTCATTTTAGGATCTAAGAATTATCAAATCATAGACTAATATTTTCTTACACATAGGCGACGAACAATGAAAACTTAACTAATCAAAGTCATGCCATACTCATGCATATGGAGATGGTAAAAGTCACAATCAACCCAACAAAAAAGGCAAATGATGCCTACAACATATCTATCTCATGCCCTCCATGATATGGATGACACAAAAAAAGGGGGAAAACAGGTCCACTACTTCTTGGCTTTTGGATGGCAAGTTAGGCCACATGCTACTTTTGGTATTTTTGTGAAGGGGCCATATACTATAAAGTGTAAGCAATCAAAACAAAGGGTTTAGTACTTCAATAACACCTTATATAAATATTGGTGAATGAGCTTCAATATGTATCATATGAAACAAGTATTTGTAGAGCAAATAGACCACACTTCCTAAGAGGGACTTACATGAAGAGGCAGAGAGAGTGATGCAGCCAAGGATGACTTGCCGGTGGCATTATCTCATGTTCATGTGATTTTCATTCACTCGTTGCACCGGCAAGTTGTGTTCGGCTATGTTACTAACTCATCTTCTCATGTGAGTACCTCACTTAGGATCAATTATTATTTATTTGTGGTCACTCTGATAAAACAAGTTTTAAGATCTAATTTTAGTGGCGTTTTGTTTTTTGGTAACATATATGTTTGTAATATATCTGTAGTACAATTTAAAACCATGATGTTATCCGTTGAAACATTATGAAGTTGTAATTCTCATGCTTAGAGGTAAGATAGTGCATCTCTACTAAGTTCTGTAACTCTTTTTTTTTTTTATGACAATAAACTTTGGTTAAGAATTACACTAAGATGATACTTTTTGTTTTGGATTGGATTTGTTTTTAACCCAAATATAAATTCAACTATGCTGCAGGAGAGGATAGCATGAGTAAGTTTACCCTTGATCATGTCGGAGAGTGATTCCACTCCTCACGCCGAGGACATGTCCTCCAAAGACATCCTCGCCACATTACCGTCAAGGAAGATCAACAACATCCAGAAGGTCCACGCGAGCACCCTCCTCGTAGGGCAGACACCCAATGCCTCTGATTATCAGATTCCTCTCTCGAAAAGACCGCATCCACGTCTCCCAGATAGTTCGAAGCAGTTCATTCAGGATGGAGATCACATGCTGATCTCCACTACACGTAGGTCCTGACAATGTCCATTTGAGCCTGCTTAGTCAGCCTAACATGGAGACCTTGGCCCAGCGCTGGGGCTATAAATACCCTCTTACTTGAGAGGGTCATGTATTCATTCATTCATTCATTCATTTACTCACTTACTACAATGCTTGCACTCTTTCTTACTTTGGAATTAGAGTACCTTGCAAGTACACCCCCTCCACTTCACTCAACAACTTCCTTTCAACTAAAGCTCATGGACCAGTGACGATTCCTTTTGATCAGGTACGATCAGTGGCGCCGTCTGTGAGAACCAGCTTCTCCGTCTTTCATTTACCTAAGACCAAAGCAACTCTCTCAACTTTTCGATCATCATGGCCGACCAAGTCAACAACGGTGACCAAAATATTAATTTCGCCGACCCTGGCAACAACAACGATGCTGGAGGTCACGGGTGAAACAACCGGCTAAATAAGTCATCGAGATGAAATCAATGAAGTCGTCATCGAACATTTTTTATTCCACAGGAAAGGAAAGGTAAACATCGAGTAAACCTGAGAAGGGTGAAATAAAGGTGAAACGACCGAGAGATCAGATAAGGGAATCTATTATGCAAGGGAAAGGTATTAGTACCTCACACGCCTGTAGTACTCTACGGTATCCACTCTTGTTGCTCTTATCTAATGGGTGTGGTCAAATTCTATGTTTATTTCTTATTATTGAGAAAAATGCAAAGAGGGAATGCATACAAAAAGAAAAGAGAAAATAATGTAGGGAAAATAAAGTTTTGCTCGTTCGGGCCCTACCCCAATGCCTATGTATCCCTTTTAAGGAATCAGAGAAACCATAGTTCAACTCTTTTTTTGGTAGGTTTGTGTTTCTTAGTTGAACAATGTTAAATTTAATCATTTCACCGCTGCTCGACCTTTGTAGACTTACGACCTGTAGTGGAAAGGAACTAACATGCTCTTTTGAAAAAGTTTTGAAAGAAAAGAAGCCCGAAGGCGCAAAAGAGTTTGCATTGGTTGATTTTTTTTACCTTAAAAAAGGATTTGAAAGTTGTTAGATGTTTTATGCATTTTCCAAGAAAAGAGTTTTAGTCTTAATTCAAGGATGCAAAAGAAAGAAAAAAACATCTAAGGGATACTATCTAGTTCTATCCCTAATGTTATCATACAATGATTGATCCTAAGGTCGAGGATGAAAAGGGAAATCTCTACACTATGTTAGCATGCATGGATTACCTATCTTAAGGTCTAGCTCGAATCAGGAAAGAAACAAGTACATCCTAAGGGAACATGGCATATACAAATAAGTGCTTTGAAAAAAGAACACAATCAGGGTGTACTGACTCGGGGGATGGGGTATGAATATAAAATGCTTTAGCTAAGGGGAGCGGATCACCCGAAGCAAACAAGTGGGAGACTGTGATGAAATAAAAAAGAAAAGTATTACTTTAGCCAAGGGGAGCGGATCACCCGAAGCAAACAATCGGGTAGCAAAGTATGAGCAATGGCCATTGCGAACTCCTGACAAAGTGTGGGGGTTTGATTTCAAAAACCTTTCCCACTTGACCGACTAGATACACATGATCTGCACAAATCCAAAGCATCAACATATAACGTGAGTTAAAGATGACACGAACGAAATGCGGGGGTCGATTGCAAACTCTTCCGCTCGCCTCCTTTTGAGGACTTATTCGGGTGTGGGGATATGCGAGCACAAATATAAATACACCTACGAAATACCTACTTCAAAGGTAGAATTTTAAACAAGCACAAGTAGCACACATAATGCATATAATGCGGAATTGCCCTAAACGGGTCTTTAAATAAACCAGAGGTATTCCTGACATAATCAGCAACGGAAATCCCCGTCATACATCTCTATTCCTACTTCTCAAGGAAAAGAATGCAGTAAAAGCCCTACTTGACATGATCTCTAGAAAGCAACAAGATGCCGAAAGGAAAATAGAAGGAAATGTACCAAACGGATAACAATCTGTAGATGGCGAGCAATAGTAAAGAAACCTGAAAAACTTCGTGAGTTGCTATCACCAATAAAGAAAATATCATCAACCTAAGTGTCAAAGTATCAAAAAATAAAGATCGGAATGTGGAGCATACACATTCGAATATCAAAATACACCTGAATGAAACATAATCTATACAATGTATAACAATCACATGGCAAAATGTGTAGCCGACACATCCGTGTGATGCCAAAGTTGCTGAACGAAATATAATTCATACAATATATGAAACAAAAATCACATGGCAGAATATGTAGCGGACACATTCGTGTGATGCCATGGTACTTGCACGAAATAAGATTTATGCAAGAATAATATCATTTGCGCATCATACGCAAACTTTCACTAACAAGTGATTGCATAAAGCGCTTTTCAACCAATAATCATGTGCCAATTAAAGGTTGAAGGTTTAACAATGTACCTTGCAAAGTATTCACAAAAAGAGTTAGAATAAACAAGGCAATATGTGCAAACATGCATTAAAACAAAGAGAAATTCAATATTTATGTCTGGGTAACCGGTTACCATAACTGGGTAACCAGTTACCCTAAATCAAAAAGTTAAGGAAAACACTACTGTTTTGAGGTAACCGGTTACCATAACTAGGTAACCGGTTACCCGCGTGCAAATTTCAAATTTCAGTTATGTGGAAAGGGTGGTAACCGGTTACCATAACCGGGTAACGGTTACCCGCAGGAAAAAAGTAGTTTTTTTTTAACTTTTTGATGTTTTGGCTCATGGCTTAGGCAATTGATCAAACACCAAATCTCCACACATTCAATACATGATTTTGCATAATTCAAGGTCTAGATCCAAACTTCACATGCTTGATTAAGATCAACAATTAAATCTCATGCAACATCTCCAATTTATTCCATTAATTAATCACTTTCATCAAAATCAACTTAAATAAAAAATCACTTAATTCAAATATCCAATTCCGGATCTAAACATGATGATAAAATTAAATCAGAATTCTAGTATTGGACTTGTATTCTAAATTCAAAATTAAACCTAGATTTATTTCATGCTTGATTAAAATAGTGCTTCTCAAATAATCACTTATTTCAAAAGAGCTTAATTCAAGAAAACTCACCGATAGAAGTGAAGAGGAAGCATAGGTTTTGGTATTGTAACAAACGGATCAATGATCAGAAAAGAATTTCTCTTGATCTTGACTTTCAAATCTTGATCAAATTGTTGTTGTGTTCTTGATGGAAAAGTTGTAGAACTTTGATTTGATCCTTAAGAGAAAAGATTTTTTGCTTATGAGAATTTGTGAATTATGAGAACTCTCTCTTTTCAAAAATCATATTTTAGATTATATACATGGGCTAATTGGGCCTAGGATGTGCAATTGGATTGGACCTTGACTTGAAAGTATGAGCCCGACACGACCATAAAGTGCCACGTCATCATTCATATAGAATCTTCAAAAAGTTCCAACATAAAAAATGAAGATAATAAAATTTTAATGTGTTGCCGAAAGAATGGGCTCAATCTAATAAACGAAGAGGAAGTTCTGAACTTTTAAAGTTTCGCTGACACTGTGTCAGGCATAAATAATTTTCTGTGCAAAAATTTATTGCTTCACATGTGAAGAAGACCAAAATCAAGAGTCTTAGGGTCATTGTTTCCTTTTAGCATTTTTAGATGATTTGTAGTAGACGAAATTTGTGAACCAACGCCACCGGATCCAACTTAATTCGATAAAAATCGAGTGAGATGTGAATTTTACCGTATCCAACTATAATACAAATGAATTCTGGTTCAACACCAATGTGTCTTCAGAAACTCAAAATTCACAGATCTTTCCTTTGTGAATCCGCTTTTAGCCTCCAAAGACGACATCAAGATGACATCGAAACAAAATTTTGGAAATCAAAACCGCGCACATACAAAAATACATCTAAAAGTTACGAATTTTTTAGTGCACACGAAATAATGGTTCAACCTACTTCCTTTGTATTTTTTCACTGTATAACTTCCAAAAGAATGGCGTATTCAGAGACCTTCCTTCGAGATTTAGATTTAGTTCCGAACACGAAAGTTGAAGAGAATGTCAAGAAAGTTTTAAAACCTCAAGAACAAATCCAAAACACCATTCCAAATGGGAGATATGAATTTTCACACTCAAATCAGCTGAAAAACTGTTTTCTATTCGCACTGCTTAAAATACACCAAAAACACCCAAATCTTCCGCAACTCGTCATGCGTTGAACAAGTACAAGAGCTTTGTTGTGTCGAAAAAAATACCTTAATCCCATGAGCACGGATCCAATGATATACATGTATGCATATGATAATGAAATATAAGCCAATTAGGATCATAATGAAGAGGGAAAATTTTGGGGTTCAACAACTGCTTCTATTCAATCTTCTTTAACCAGGGAGCGAGATTGGCGGAAGCCTTTCGAACAATCAAGGTGAAAGATGATTGAATACTTAATAAAAACATAAAATTTGCACTCTGAATTCAGCCGGGTATCATTGCACTTCTTTTTCTTCAAGATGGTGAACTTTACAAGAGAAAGAGACCGGCCGAAGGGGACTCTAACAAGGATTTCCAAAACATGTTGGACTTTTGATAGGTTACAAATATGCATGAACTACAATATCCCTCATGCTAGAAGAGGGGTGTGATTCTTCAAGAGTGGAAATTATTTGAATTATCACATACTAAGCATGAATACTCAAACACTTGAGAAATAAGAAAGGTTATACACAGACTCT